TCATGTCCCGCCATTCTCCAACAGAAACCATACCCAGCATGTATCAGCCTCAGTAGAACATGACTTCACTGTTTAGAGGACCTTGGAACAAAACTTATCCAGCTTTTTCCTGCAGCATTTATCTATCAACCAGCTGTGCTGAGCTGTGCCAAGGAGTTGCCCTGTAGAGGTTATAGAGGGCAGTTAGCACTGGCATTCCAACCAGACTCCCCACACACAGTGTGCTATATTTGCCCAGAGGTAGTAAAGAGAGGAAAAGCACTCTAAAATCTAGTATTTGAAGAATCAGATGAATCTCCTAACTTCATTTGAATATTGCTGTAAAAATACAACTTCTAATGCCATCATCTGCTAGCTTGAACTTCTTGTTTGTGATTAAGCATTAAGTTGCTATTCTTAGCAATTTGTATTCCATTTCAGTAGGTAATACACCAAGCTGTAATCGAGAGGCTATATGAAATAGCACAGGTCATGGAGAGTATATCTACTATAGTATTTTTTTATTAAGACACTACTTTGCCTATTCATTCAGTCAGAACCACTGAAACAGCAGCAGATCTCAAAAGGTGGAATTCTCAGGAGTCCTGTTTACTCAAGAAAGCTTGTAGCAACCACTAACCTCATTTTTTTATTAATTAAAACAAAGTTAGCAATTAATTATTGCGCATGAAAACAGGTAACTTAAAATATGTAGTGAAATTGCTACAGCTTAAGTGATGTTAGATGAGTAATATAAACTGATGAAAAGAGCATGTTGTCCTCTGTTGGGATGTATTTAGAACAGCACTTTAATCCCATTAGTTCCCTTTTCAAAATGGATATTACTGTATTCGGGTGCAGGAATGGCATTGCTTGCCTACCCCCAGCACAAAATTTGAGCTTTGTTACTGGTATTGGTGATTTCTAAATGCTCTAGGCTTTCTGCAACGTTGAAGCAGTTAACAAATTAAATAAACCTCTCAAATTTCAGCCTTTTCCAGTAATACAGCATATTATGAGCTGCAGTGTGCTGCATATGCCACAATAGGTTATGTTGTAAGAGGACAAATGGATACGTGTGCTGCTTTTTAAATAGGGCAGCCATCATTGTGGATTTCATTTCTTTTTTAGCAACTGTGACTAATTCACAATTACTTTGCTGTGCTTAACTTGTGTCTTTGTTACTGCCCAAAAGTAGATAATCAATATGAGCCTCTCCAAATGCTTTTACCTACTCAGCACAGTAAGTTTAGAACCATAAAATTTGCAGTCATCAGTGACTTCAAACAAAAGCCTAGGATCTACTAATTAACCTAGGTATGTAAGTTGATCATAGTTTCTCCCAGTTTCTGTACAGAATAATTACACGCTAACAGTTTTCAGCTTGTCATTCTTTTTCCAAAAAAAACAATGCATAGTAAAGATGTGCCTAAGGCAGCTGGTTTACTCGCTACATGTCTAAAAAGATACTTGGATATTTGGAAATGCATAGGCTTAACAAATAGTTATTAAAGACAGAAGATTGCTAGTTTATAGGTAGTTGCTGAAATAGGAAGACTGCAAAAGATTATGGCCATTGCTGCTCCACTCCACTGAAATCTTTTAAGTAAGGACAATTGGTCAGGTTGAAACAAACACAGAGATTAGAAGAAAAGACTGACTTAATATGAAGGATGTTTCTTTCATTGGATCCAGTTACGGGAAGGAACATGTAATTCATGTCTGAAGTGTAAATGTCAATTGATCAAATGACATAATAGGCTTCCTTGAGAGCTGACATAGTTTATGAGCAAAAAAGAGCAACTTCATGGGAAGCATTTAAAAAACAAAATTACTCACTTTCACAAAGTGAAGATTTTGCTCTCTTGTCTCTTTCTCTGATGGACTCTATAACATATTCTACTGGGCATTCTGTAAAGTTTAATGCACAGTGTTGGTAGCTTGTTGGGAGGCTTCCAAACAGTTCAAAACAATAGAGGCATCTTTGCATGTTTTGCATAATTTTAACAAAGTTAATGAAAGCGAGCGCTGTAATTCTAATCTTCAATACAAGAACAAGTTTAGTAAGAGGAAAGACTAAGAATAAATTCATTGGTTTTGTTTGGCAGGAGTTGTAAATGCAGATGTCCTTTAGCATAAAATGTATGCATTTAAGAAGAGTATTGTCATTCTGGGATTTCTTTTTGCAGATATGGGGCCAATATTCCATTCTAACATGAGTGAAAGGCATTGTTTCAGCTGCTGGTTCACCACCTGACACTTGAATGAGAGACGTTTAAGTGGAAATAGTGACATTTATTTTCTGAGCCTTGCCATTTAAGGGTGGGAGGGTAATAATTTCCTATTGGAATGTACACTCCAGCCTCACAGGGTTATTTGTAAGAAGTGCATCACTTCCCATTATGATCATCCTCATTCCAGCAGCACTTGTGCATTCAACACATGATTTCTGGTTATGATGTTATGAGGGTGGAATTATTGCATCTATTCACCTTTCATTTGTGTGTTGATGTGGCATTTATATTAAGTAGGAGTAATTTTTTTTTCTGATTTTTTTTTTCTTGTGTCACCAGTGCACCTATTCCATTCTTCCATCGCTGTGCTCCTGTGAACATTTCCTGCTATGCCAAGTTTGCAGAGGCCCTGATCACCTTTGTCAGTGACAGTAGTGTCTTACACAGGCTGATTAGTGGAGTTATGACCAGCAAAGAGATTATAATGGGACTTTGCTTGTTATCACTAGGTAATTGTTTTTCTCATTACTAGCTATTTCTTAGTACTGCATTAGGAGTTGGTTAACACCCTCTAACCACAATATGAGCAAAAACCATGTATAATAGCAATGAACCCTTACAAAATTATTCAGAATGCTTTTATAAAATTTTACTTGACAGCTGGGTAACTTGTTCAAAAGCAATATACATATGCATTCCGGGGTTTATTTCTTTTCCACTGACTACAAGGTAGAGTATGTGTGGCTGTTGATTAGCCAACATTAGTTTCGATGTAGTTAACAGAGCATCCCTATTTCCTAATCTTTACTAGAGTATTCCCCTTTCCCATTTGTACTATTTGTCTCCTGCCAATCCAAGTCCATATAAAACCCTTCCAAATAAAAAGGACAGGGTGAGAAATGCACAGTAGGACACTCCTGTTGAGTGTAGGCAATTTAGTTTGTTTCATATAACATATGCGTGCAGGGTTATGAGAACTTTAAGAAAGTTAGGTGCCCATTTGTTGTATTTTATGTCACCTCCTTCTTCCCCTTCTCCCAAAATTAAAAACTTAAAGTCTTTAAAAATCTCAGCCTTGACTGAAAAGATGCAAATTCCCAACAGTATAGAGGTGCTGAATCATTTCTGTAGCTGTGAGTTTCTTCTGGCCTGTAGTGACACATTGCACTGGACTGAAGTGCTGTTTTAACAAAGTCTTGTTGTTTAAGGTGTAGTGTTAGCCACCCACATAAATTCCTTTCCTAATGAGTTTGTTTTACTGATACCAAGTATAAGCCCTGAAATCCTAAAATGGGAGGAACAAAAAAAGTAGTCGTGTGTATGAGTAGTGTGTGGTTTAGAAAAACTCTGCAAAGCTGTACCAGATAAAGAATTCCTTAGTTTTCAGTCTGCCTTTGTGGGTAAAAAAACTCAAGACACCCCCTCCCCCAAAAACAAAAAAAAAAAGAAGGCAAAAAAGATGGGGAAAAGAAAAACAGAGGATGCTAGATACCATTTTAAAAAAACCAAAAACCACAAAAGACCACTGTGTATGTTTTCGGCTGTAACTGGAAAGCTGTTTATTCTTCTATCTTGACAGCTGCAGTATTTGATAATAACAGTAGACTGTTCAGAATCTGAAAGCTGGTGGCTGATTAGCAGTGCTACTCTTCAGGTAGAGTCAGAAATAAGTACAGAGTTTGCATACAGTTAATTTTAAAAATATCTTTCATAACTTCATTGTTGCACAGAATTTATTTTAAAACAGCGGGTTAGTCTGTGTGATCCAGAAAGCCATGTTCCACTGGCTTTCATGTAAATGCTGAACACAAATATATATATGTGTAAAGATACACGTATGCACTTATACACACCACTCACTTCACCTTAGTTGGCTGTAATAGATTTTTACTTTTCACTGGCATGACATTGGGGAATACACAGGCATCATAATAACTGCACTTGTTTGGCAAGTGAATTTGAGTGCAAATTCTGCTCTGGTCCTCAGGAGGTGTGCTCATGTTACCAGACTCAAAGTACTACCATGTCTTGCTGTCTGTTTGGTCATTGTCTAAGTACATCTCTGTCTGTATGCATGCATTATGTCTTGTATTTAATGTACCATGTAAATGTATTTATGGTCTTCTTTGTTTTAATCAACAGTATCAAAACAGAAGTTGCAGAGGTGCCTAATTTTCATAACTATCTGTTCAGTGAGTTTGTAAGCCTCAGAAAAGAAATCTCTGTATAAAAAATTCTGTTGGAAAGCAGTTACTAGTGCAGTGGGAAAATTAGGAAGTCTATTTCTACTTGAAGTAATTGCTCTGCTTATTTTATTTGTCTTCTTTTGCAGTGTTGTCCATGGTTTTGATGGTTATAATCAGGTACATTTCAAGAGTACTTGTCTGGATTTTAACAATTCTTGTTATTCTGGGATCACTTGGTAAGTCTTGTTTGTCTCCCAGTTTGAATGTCCAGTTCTAATCTTTGTGCTGTGTCCTCAGGCCAGCTACATCCTCCACAGATCTTGGACTATGCATTTCGCTTCAGCTTTAGTTTGAGTCCCTTCCAAGATGCACATCAAAAATGCCACCTTAGTAGCTGCAGTGAGAATACATTGCTTCCTGGATATTTGCCTGCCCTGCTTGGCAGGCAAGCTTCCAGTCAGCCTAGCTCACTAGAACCACATAGCCAGTATGGTGTATTCCTTGTAACATGGCCCTAACATGTTGCCTACTTCTTAACCTGCCTTTGAAATATGTTAGCAGAGCAGATATTCCAGGTGTGTCTTATGGCATACCCATCATGGGTGTACTCAAAGCCTGCATGAATGAAATAAATATTGTTTATTCAGCCTGACATGTTCATCAGCCCCTTCAGTCCTCTTGAGTAGCTCTGTAGGTGTATCTAAGGCCTGTTCTTAAGGAGGGGAAGCAAAGGTGCTTGTCTAGCATTTCTAATCAAATTCTTGTATTTCCATATGACTCAGGAAGACCTGCATGACCTAGGTTGTGTGAAATGCAACTGCCCATGAGGTCTTGGAAATGGCCAAAGATTGTCTCTTCCAAAATGATGTAACTCACATGAAAATAGCCTTATTTTATCACATTAACTTTTGCATTTGCAAAACTGAAGTTTTCTATTATTGTTACTCAATAGGCAAGCCAAAATATATGGGCAGATGACTGTAGGAAAGGAACAAAATTAGGATAATCATATTAGGAAGCACTAGTGATTTAGATCTTGCAATTCATAAATGCAAGGGATGGAAAAAATCAGCAGATGATCTATAGTTTTTTCAGGATCAGTTTGTTTTTCTGCTCACTGATCTCAAAATCTGTGACCACAGAAAAGGAAAAAAATAGAATGTTTTTTTTCATTTATGTTCTCTTTAGAAGCTGAGCAACTATGTTGAGGGAAATAGTAGAATGACTTCTCTTTTTGACATCTGTTACTATGTTCTAAGAAGTTGCATCCATTACACAGACTGAATAAGAATATGTCATTTGTGAGACATACTGCTTATTCTGTCTTCACTGGTTTTCTAGGAGATGCCAAAAGAGCATCCTTCGTTTTAGACCTGAACAGAGTACTTTCAGAAAAAACTTGTGATCTCAAGATAAGATTATGCATCTGAATCAGAAATAACAACAGAACAGAGAAGGATACTCAGAAAAGAAATGTATCAGAGGGGAGAGGTTGTCTCCCTGAGAAGCTGGAGATGTGTCTAAGAAAAGTTCCACCTTGGAAAGGCATCTAGAATAGGAGAATGATATACTGGCCATAACGCTAGGATTTTCTAACAGGGGTTAGAATACAGTACCTCCATTGTATCAGCCTCTGTGCATTTTACTCATGCTTTTCCCAGTGCCCAAGATGTTGTCGGAAGCAAGCATAGCTACATGTCATTAACCTGAAGTGCTGTTTTCAGCGTCAGGGCTGATCCTTCTCTTTTTGATTAGTCTTCCCTGGAATTGTAAGCTCCTTGTTTTGTTGTTCCTGTTATTTCACATCCTAACCCAAAGGTCCCCTTCCTAAATTCCTACTTCCTGCATTATTATACACATATATACATACATCCTACCATATAACTCCTTATTCTTCCTTTTGTTCTGCTATTACCTGTTTAGTGGGAGCTGTGTTCTTCATTGTTAGGGTCCCCATGAACTAGCCCTTTTATGCACTTCACCCTAAAATACACAGTCAAGGATCTGCAAGTCTCTCAAGTGGTTGTAGTGGGGTGAGACTGTGAAAAGAGTATAATCAGTTGAGAAGAGGGAAACAGAGGAGAACTAAGCACTTCTCCCTCTTCCAAAGTTCCTATAGAGTTGAGCATCAGTGCCCTTGAGCATTTTGTGCCAGACTAGATTTAAAAAGAAGAAACTGATACGTTTCTTTGGGACTAGGTACTATGACCATGTCACACGGAAGGAGTCATACACCTAGTCACGTTTTTGTTTTCTCACTAAAACACAGGTGGTACAGGAGTCCTGTGGTGGCTCTATGCTAAGCAACGAATATCTGCCAGTGCTGATGAGACTCAAATAGCCAAAGACAATCTTCAGGCTCTCTTGGTCTATGCCATTGCAGCTACAGTCTTCACGGTACGCTTTGCTAATGACTGTATTATTTTCCTATTCTCTGTCTTCCTGGTGGTCTGGATTTTTTTATTCAGGTGAAAGGTTTGTATTGCACACATTTTTGAACAGTTTATTTCTGCCACAATTTCTATTGCAG